GGAAGGCCCAGTGGACACCATTTGAATTGCCATTGCCTAGAATACCACATTCCTGGAGAGATTGCAGAGATTAGTGCCACCATCAAACACATGAAGGATACAGGGGGATGGGGGTGGGTGGTGATTCCTCCCACATCCCCATTTAACTCACCTATTTGCCCTGTAAAACAAACTAACAAAAAACCAGATGAATCTTGGAGAATGACAGTAGACTATTGTAAACTTAACCAGATGATAACTACAATTGCAGCTGCTGTTCCAGATGTGGTTTCATTGCTTGAGCAAATTAATAATTCTCCTGGTACTTGGTATGCAGCTATTGATCTGGCCAATGCCTTCTTCTCAATACCAGTCTTGAAGGGCCACCAGAAGCAGTTTGCCTTCAGCTGGCAGGGGCAACAATATACTTTCACAACTCTCCCCGAGGGATGCATCAACTCTTTCACCCTGTGCCATAATTTAGTCCAAAGGAACCTTGATCATGTGTCCCTTCCACAGGAGGTCACACTGGTCCATTATATTGATGGCCTGTCTCTTCCACAGAATGTCATACTGGTCCATTATATTGATGGCAGTATGCTGACTGGACCCACTAAGGAAGATGTATCAAAGACTCTAGATTCATTGGTACAACATCTGTGGTCAAGAGGGTGGGAAATCAACCCAAAGAAGACTCAGGTGCCCTCCATTCAGTAAAATTTCTAGGGATCCAATGGTGTGGGGCATGTCGAAATATTCCTACTAAAGTGAAGGACAACGTATTGCACCTGGTCCCCCCAAAAACTAAATGGGAGGCACAACACCTACTGGGCCTCTTTGGATTTTGGAGGCAACATATCCCACATTTGTGTGTGTTACTTTGCCCTATCTACCAAGTGGCATGAAAGGCTACCAATTTTGAGTGGAGCTCAGAATAAGAAAAGGCACTGCAACAAGTTCAGGCTGCCGTGCAAGCTGCTTTGCCACCGGGACCATGTGATCCAGCTGACCCAATGGTGCTGGAGGTGTCAGTCCCAGATAGAGATACAGTATGGAGTCTTTGGCAGGCCCCTATTGGTGAATTCCAGTGTAAACCAGTGGTTCTCAAACTTTCTAATGCTTCAACCCTTTAACACAGTTTCTCATGTTGTGGTGACCCCCCCCAACCATGAAGTTATTTGTGTTGCTACTTCATAACTATAATTTTGCTACTCTTGTGAATTGGGAGACCCCTGTGAAAGGGTCGTTCAACCCAAAAAGGGGTCACGCCTCACAGGTTGAGAACTGCTGGTGTAGACCCTTGGGATTGTAGATTAAAGTCCTGCCATCCTCTGCAGACAACTACTCCCCTTTTGAAAAATAGCTATTGGCCTGTTACTGGGCCTTAGTGGAGACTGAACACCTCAGCATGAGGCCTGAACGGCATGCCCATCATGAACTGGGTATTGTCTGACCCATAGAGTCACAAAGTTGGACATGCTCACCCACACTCCTAGAAACACAGCACTGATTCCACTAAACTGGCAGCTGAAAATGCCTCCTGACCATTTGGGGTTCTTTGGATCAACAAGTAATGAAGGATGTCACTGTATTGAGTGGCGTGATTGATCCTGATTACCCAGGGGAAATTGGACTGATGCTACATAATGTAGGTAAAGAAGATGATGTCTGGAATTCAGGAGATCCCCTAGGTCAGTGGTTCTCAACCTTCCTAATGCTGTGACCCTTTAATACAGTTTCTCATGTTGTGGTGACCCCCGACCCCAAACCATAACATTATTTTTGTTGCTACTTCATAACTGTAATTTTTCTACTGTTATGAATCAGTGACCCCTGTGAAAGGGTCTTTCGACCCCCAAAGGGGTCACGACCCACAGGTTGAGAATTGCTGCCCTAGGCCATCTCTTAGTACTACCATGCCCTGTGGTTAAAGTAAATGGTAAACTACAGCAACCCAATCCTGGAAGGACTTCTAATGTCCCAGGCCCCTCAGGAATGAAGGTCTGGGTCACCCCCAACGAAGAACCACAGCCAGCTGAGGTGCTGGCTGAGGGCAAAGGAAATACAGAATGGTTAGTAGAAGAAAGTAGTTCTACTATCAGTTACAACCATGTAATCAATTGCAAAAGTGAGATTTGTGATTGTATTTCTTCTTCATGTTCTTACTGAATAGCTTTCCTTTTTCATGTATAATATACCAGATACAAATAGATTGTTTTCATTTATAGTTTCAAAAATATATGATGTTAAGTGTGATTTCATTAATGTCTGAAAATTATATAAGGGTAAAGAATTGTACCAAACTGGACTGTATTAGGTTTACTGTGCCAACTAGGCTTCCATAGGAACATGTGGGTGAAATTTAATCAGGTACCAATTGATTGGAGGACAACGCAATAAATGGCTACGGCCAGCCCCCTTCTCTCCTCCTTCCTGGTGATCAGACCAGTGTGTTGCTGCCTGAACTAGTTCTTTGCCTCAACCTTGTGCTGCATTACCTGTGGTCTGAACCAACCCATAGATTGTGTAGCTAGAGCTTGAGGCCACTTCAAGACCTGCTTCGCAGTGCACTGCTGGAGCATACATCGCTGGAGCTCCAGGGTGGTAGGTGTACACATTGCTTGAGTTGGAGAGCTCATCGTGGTCTGCTTCGCCACGCTCTGGGTGCTGACTGTTGCTGCCCCACACAGCTGTCTGCTGCCTTTGGGGCTGACTTTACCTGTCTTGCCTGAGGGCAGACTCCTTCTGCCTCGGTGACCTTAAACTGGCGGCCCATGTGAATTGAAGGACCTTCAGTATATTATTTGATCAAAGTGAGCAGAATTGAGCCCTCCATACTGCTGTCGACTAATTAGCCGTTTTATTCCTTCTTGTTGTATAAACCTATCTATCTACCTATCTATATATAATCATAAGTGTCCTAGTTTTGTTTCTCTAGAGAACCTGCCTAACAAAACAGTTAATATAGAAAACAATTTGGCACTTTCTCATGGAGCTAAAAACTAATTAAAAACAAAGGGCATGTTGAATATTCTGGGGTAGGGTATCAGACAGTATCTGCGGTGAGTCTACATTTCTGGGGCAAATTAGTGTAGGTTTCAGACCTCTAATCCAGTAAAAAGAGCATCCATATTGAGTGGCCTGGTACAACGTCCACATTAGGGACAACATCCACATTGAGAGGTGCTGCATGAGCAAGTAAACCCCAACAAGAATGAGGAAGCCACCATGTAGGATGGCAACCTGGACTGTGGAGTCAGAGCCTCGCATGATGTGGGACAGGGGAAAGGGCTGTGGTTCAAATAATACTGGTTGGAGGTTGATCAAAGAAAATATTTTATGGATAACTAAAGCTGAATTTCTTGCTATCAGAAAAAGGGAGTTTCAAATAATTAATTAGTGAAAACTAGAGTCAAGCCTATTTTGGTTTGGAATTAGTTAGTTTTGTGAACTCCTGAGAACCCAATACAGATAAGTAGAGAAGTATGTCTAAGTTCAGGAGCATGTATATACATAAGATTACATATACATATAACTTTAACAAGGAAACCATGACTATATAAATTTTAATAGATAACCCTTCAAGCATTAGAAGGAACAGAGCATTTAGTTAAGTCACTAGCCACAAAGGTGAAAATGGATGCTATTAAGCTGCATTGTCCAGAGAAATTAAACCAGCAACCCTCATACATGTCTAAGAACTTTCTTTCAAGAAGTAACTTTATACCAAGAACGTGTCCCATGCCAGTCTAACTCAAGTACATGGGTCTGAAGCTAGCCAGAGCTCTTTTAAGACTCATAAAGCTGCATGCTATTGATGCAGAAACCTGAAGTGGGAAGCAGGGAGGTCACAGGACAGTGGGGGCAGAGCCACATGGGGCTAAGGTTTGTGGGAACATGGCAGGGCAGATAGCTGCTCTCCAGGCCAGCATTTGAAAGGACCAATTTCTAAAATTTATAGCAAATTTCAATGCTTCAACAACAAAAAGACAATCAATCTTTACTTGGAAAATGGATAGAGGGCATGAACAGTCACCTTCAGCAAAGACCGTGGTAGTCACCTAAATTTGGTGTCAATTTGAGATTGAGTGTAGGGGAGGAGTCTAGCCTGCCAATCTGGAGATAGCCAATGAGACCTCTGTGTGGGCATAACTGTCTCCTGAGAATTCTGGGAAATATGGTACTTCCTCCTTAGAGGTGAGAGACACTTTTCTGACACTCCCTGGGAGACAAAGCAGCTGAAAAGACACATGGGTCTACCTTAATGCAGAGATCCCTGCCAGCACAGATGTTTCCAATGACACTGGTTCAAAGACTTTCTACCCACTGGCCCTGTGATCTTCTACATTCGGCACCATTTCATGTGTTTCGTGAGTCTAAAGAGGGCTTTACAGATTCATATTGGCCATGTGGGCTAATATCGTACTTATGGACTTGGTCTGCACTCGGATGGGATGTTTTTTCAATGTTCAATTGCTCTTGCATATAAATCTTTCTTATATACATATGTGAGTCCATGGATTTGTTTCTCTACTCAGACTGACACAGACATACAGGCCAGATGCTTTTGATTCGGACTCACACTTTATGTACAACAGAATGAAATACGGCCTGGTCCTGCGCCATGCACTTCTTCATCTCCATGTGCAGTGGACCATTTAAGGTTTGCCTGGCACTTCCTGTAACACAACTGGTTCTGACACGCTTCACACATGGCAAGTTTCTTCATAGGGAAAACATAGCCCCTCGAGGGTTGTGTTAATACAGGACATTATTAATCATCCACAAACATTGACTTAAATGCCAATGGCAGAAAAAATATAACTGAGATTTTCTTGAAAAGGCATGTTATGAAATGTAAAGTTAACATGACTGCATGTTTGAGCTTTTGTTCATGTTTACATTCATTTAAATAACCATGTTAAAGGCCTATCATTAACCAGTAGTTCAATATAACATATACATTTAATAATAGTTTACCTTTAGTGTATATAGAATAATACTCTTGGGAGAAAGGAATATAAACTTAAGTTCTATATTTTATCCACACTGTTATGAGAATAAATATTGATTTCACTACAAATTCAGAACTTTTATTTAACATTAAAGAAACTTAGTGTCTTTCAATGCAGCTTTAACAGAAGATGAGAACAAGAGACTAAATACAAACTATCTTGACTTTATTCAATCTTTTAACGTATCAATTTATTGCATATGTCAGTACAGAAAAATAGAAAGCATATTTTAAAAGAAATTTATTGTAAAAAAACCCAAATGTAAATGTTTGCTTGCCACAGTTGACACAAAACTTATAGATAACTTATTTAAATTCTAGTTACAAAATTATTACTGCTTCAAATGAAATATGGCAAATAACAAAAAATGATTTCTTGAAATTAAATTCTGATTTTACCATGAAAGAACTTGAAAATGTTGAAAACAACTTGAATTTTCATTATATGCTGTACTGACAAAAAATAATCAATTATGTTAATACAGTCATCCCTGTTACATATGTAAATATGGCACTTTTGATAACAAAAAAAAGTCTTATCCATGGTTCTAATTTTAAATCTACATTTTAAGATACAAAATATAAATGGAGGTATATTTGAGCCATTTGGCAAAAAACGTGTTCACGACTACTTCGGATGACTATTTGCATTTGTTTCACCAGACAAGTGAACATATTATTTCTGATTAGCAAAATGTTAATGTCCATATATATGGCAATATGAATAAACAGAGTATTTTCTATTTTCTACTCTGTTGATTTAAAAAATAGATGTCTGTGCTCTTCATTTCCAACTTTACCTGAGTGATATGAAAAGACCTAACTATAAGCAGATAATCGGAAAGAATTATTTGACTTAATTTTTCTTTTCCTTTTAAAAAATAGTTATCAAACACAACACAAACAAAACAGGGACCAGTGGAGAATTTCAGTAGATCGCATTTAAGACCTAAAAGACAAAGTGATTTCCATTACATACTTAGAAGTTAAATTCTTAACCTCAAGGATGGAGAGGGACTCAATCGTATAAACTACTCTTATGTAAACTAAGCTGTCAGAGTTTGCAAGATTATTTATAGAAAATTGACTAGTCTTCATTCTTTAATTCCACCAAACCAAACCTATTTTTACTTCAGATCAAATGTCATAAGCATAGCATTCATATAAGCATCCATACTCAAACCAAACTCACTGTCGTCGGGCGAGTCTGACTCACATTGACCCTGTGAGGACAGGGGGCAGCTGTCCCTGGAGGGTTCCAACTCTCCATGGAGTTGCTGGTGGTTCTGAACTGCTGACCTTGAGGTTAGCAGCCCAATGGAGAAGCACTCACTACACCACCAGGGCGCCTCAGAGGATATGAATTCTCAACCAGGATGACAACGTGTGAACTACCTCAGTAAAACTGTGCTAGATGTGTAGAATTACTGTATCTATTGCTGAGTGTGATGAATATTTTAGACTGTCCTGTAACAAAAGTTGGCAGCAATGAACGGAGGGCCCGCCTGTGCAGAGCAGAACCACTCCACAGGTTTCCAAGGCTGTGCCTTTTGGGAAGCACATCACGGGTCTGTCTTCTGAGGGGCGGGCCTCTGGGTGGATTTGACCACCCAACCTTCTGGCCAGCTATCCAGTCTTAACCATTTGTACCCACCCAGAGATTCAGAAAGAATATTTAGAATACCGTTTTAATGATAAATATAATTTTCTTAAAAGTATTTGTAAAAACAGAGGGTAATGGCTGTGAACTACCCCCCACTTCGTGAGAAAGCTTTATGCTTTTGCTTTGCATTGTTGATTCCTTCTCATCAATCTCTTCAATTAATTCCCTATTCCTAAATTTTAAAACGAACATTTCCTTTTCTAGTAGTTTCAATCCTACTGGTCTTGCACCATCATAATTTCTTCTCATATACTTTATAGGTCAATTACAAGTTTGCTTTCAATAAATCCCCTTTGGACTTTATTCTAAATAAATCATGTACTGATTGTACTTATGAATCACTCTAGGTTTGCCAAATATAGTTTTTCATTAACACAAAATTCATAAACTCCTATAGCTGTTTTTATATTAATGAGCCAAAATTTACTTTTCAAGATAAACTTCCATTATCACTGATATAGTTCCTAAATGGAGAAAATCATAAAGAATTCATGCATGGAACAATTTTGGGGGTCATGAAATTAGGAATGCTTTAATAAAACACAAAGCCCTGGCTAGTAGAGTTTGTATCCTTTCCCATTTCTCTTAGGAAACAGTCACAAGCAGAAGTTGGTAAATAAAGATGTGATTCAATTCTAGATAAAATTTCCTAGCTGTATTGAAAAAAGGTGCTTTAACTTTACAGTGAGATTAAGGTACTAAATGGTACCTAAGTACTCCTCTTTATCTCTACTCTCAGCATTAAAAAAAGAAGGGTTGTAAGCCTGCTGTACCAAAAACAAAAATAAGAGAATAGAAACAAAATACTGATGAAGAACAAGTGTTTACGCTTCATCGCATAGTTACAGATAGTGATCAAACCTTCTATTGTGCAGTACACTAAAATGACCACAGGAAAGAATAGGTGGTATTTTGTAAACTTTAAAGAATGTTACAAATATAAGGTATCCTAGATAAGGTAGTTTCTAAATATACATTTTATAATAGTTTTTTCTTTTCAATACACTATTATTTAAGATAGTCATTTTACAGAACAATGATTTGACAAGATGCAAAGTAGCCTTTAATTTGGGTGAATTTATACATACAAAATACACCTTCTATGTTGTTACCAATTCCTTTTTAAAAAAGCAAACTGCATAATCATTTATAGAAAAAACATTCTTTAGAAATTATATTTATTATAATTTAATATTCTAAATACTGGCATGACGTGAATAATGTTATTTGGCAAAGTATTTCTAGCCCTATCTCCATGGAAAGAATTTGAAATCAAAGTCAAAATTACCAACTCATTATTTTTCTGATCTAGCTACTTTCAAAAAGCCAGTATCTATAGCTTTAAGTTTCAAAATATATTGTAAAGCTGACATAATAATGCACAGAGCTCATTTACATCTAATTATTGAAGACTTCTTAAAACAATATAGCATGATTATGCCTGCAAGTTTTAAGGGCTATCTTTTTAAGTAAGATTTTCATTTTCACTTTTCATTATATCAAAACACTACCTCCCATTTACAGCCACTGAACCGTTAAATGTGGTAACAGGTTGCATTAAAAACTCTATATTGCCTTCATTTCCACAATCCTACATGTAAAATAAATTTTCTCAACAAGCTGTCTCTTGGTCCAACAGTTCTACTTCAAGGAAAATAAACTATTAACTCAAAAAACTGGATTTTTTGGTAACAGTTGTTGCTGTTTTTACGAAGCCCAATAATTGGTGGGTTAGCTATACCTAGACAAAACTCAAGAAAACAAGCTCACTGCCACTGAGTTCATTCTGACTCATTGCAACCCGATGATGAGACACTGGGACTTAAAAATCACGTGTGGGAAGTTCTGTAAAATAGTATGTACAGTGATGTAATAATAAGATTTTCTAATTATTAAATAACTTCTAATATTTATCATGGCTGCTATCACTGGTTCAGCTGTAGACTTACAAAATTGACATAAGCTAAAATTCTTGGTGCCACCAAAATTACAAATGTTAAAAAGTTCAAATATGCACACTGAAGCTGCAATAAAAGTCTAGATTTCTATTTTTACATGCCATGATCCAGACCTGTACCTAACAAAAACACGGTACATTTATATTGGAAAATGGGGCTCAATTTATTTGTAAAACAAAAAAAAAAGCTGGATGTCAGCATTCACCAGAGCAATATTGACTAGCAACCTGCACGTAGGCCTCAATTTCATTTCTTGCCAAAATCAAAATCTTTTACATAAAAATATATAACCCAGGTAACAATATACACCAGTATCTGACCAGTGCTATTTACATTAAAAATGTTGCGTTGCATAATTCAAGGAAGAAAATACCGTCATGCATTTTATATTAATGTTTAATGTGAAAAATGCAGTTACAGAACTAAGTTTGCTTACCATGATTGTCCCAATATTTACTAAAGGAATAATAGCCAATGCTCCTGGTTTACCTTTTCTACTCCCAGTCACAAATTTAAGTGTAACACAGATCATATTTTCCTTAGCAATAAGGAACTTCAGAGATCTCTATTATACTGGCATATTAAACTAAAGATATACAGAGCCACACTGAATTTTCTGATGAAAATGTATGAAATAATCCCAAGAATTATAGTCCTTAAAATGTAAAAAACTATTTGGATCATCATAAAGGAGCATTAAAGTCCTTTCAAAGTTTAATATCACTCCTCAGACAAGTACAGACATAACACTTCTAGAAAGAAACATTCTTCTTCATTCTGCACAAATTAAAATAGTGTGTTAATCAACAAAGGATACACTATATAATCGTTACATTGGAGGACGTTTTGGCCATTTCCTCTGGAGAATGGCTCTTGATGACTTCTTTGATGAACTGTTCAAGTGCGGTGAAATAGCCTTGGCACTGCCACGTGTCATTATGAGTTCCATCTGGGAAGATGGCTAATCGCTTAGTCCGCGAGGGGGAAAGTTCATAGAGCTGCTTCATCATCACTGGTGGAATTAGTTGGTCAGAGAGTCCAGAGATGAAAAGAGAAGGCATTCTGCACTGGGAGACTTTCCTGTAGGACAGAAATTTATTTTTGTAGCACCATAAAGGCAGGTAGCGCATTGGGAAGAATGAAAATAAAGTACTGGCCATATGTGGTATACTCAAAAACGTGTTCTCCACCATAATGGCTGAAACCCTATGTGCATTTTCAGAAGCCAAGTGAACAGCTACTGCTCCTCCCAAGGAGCGGCCAAAGAGAAAGATTTTTGTTTTGTCCAGGTCAGGTCTAGTCATCACGTAGTCTAGCACAGCTTCAGCATCTAAGTAGAGTCCTTCCTCACTTGCTTCTCCTTCACTTTTCCCATATCCTCGATAGTCAACAAGTAAAAGATTCACTTTGAGGTTAACCAACATAAGCAACGCATTTGGTAACCTATGACCTATGTTGCCTGCATTCCCATGAAAATAAATTATAGTTGGGGAATATGGTGAATTGTCTCCAGTGTATCTGATCAATATAAGATTTAGACAGATTCCATCTTTGGTTCTGATGAAAATGTTTTCATGTGGAATACCAGTGGGCATGGGAACATAAAGGCGTGAAGATGAAGGTTGTTCTGGAAAATAAAGCAATACATCTTGGAATTTATATAGAATACCTGCTATTGATATAAATATTAACAAAAGTAAGATAATGCCTCCATACAGATGAAAAGTCACGATTAAAGGTAAAAGAGAAATACGGCAGAGAGCCCAAGACCACGAAGCTAAGGCTATGAGCCATCTTTCAACAAAGTTCCACAGCATCCATGACTTTTCCATTGTAGCTCTCCGTGAATTATTATTCCATAAGTAGCCTAAGGAGACCAAGAGAGACATAATCATTATTTGATATCTATTATTTTAATAGAGCCAAGATATAATAAATTACAATAATAGGCAAACCTTTAGAAATCGGCATCAATCTACGCACAACAGTGGTTGCTATAATCCTTTCTCTTTCTGTTCACAACAATACTCGTTTCTCCTGTATCTTTCCACTGCCACACTTATGAAACACACATATTTATCAAATACCATTTCAATGCTTCTTTACTGCCAGATACTTTCATTCATGAATTCTTATCAATTTGATAGAAAAATAAGTTGATGCATTTTCCTATAATTTTAACATTTAAGGGCACAAGTGAATTGACCACAGCACCGGGTCTGCAGATAGCAGAACTGGAGTAAACGAGTATGGCTTCAAAGCTCACTAGGGGCTACTGCTAAGATATGTACTTTCAGGCCAAATTTTATGCTTTGAGAAGTGGCTAACAGTCTAATCTATCAAGTGTAATCCAATAAACTATATTGTCATATGACAA